AGTAGTAGTAGTAGTAATAATAGGGACAATAATCGTAATATTCAAGAGCAATAACAAAGCAAGAGCAAGAGCAATGGCAAACGCAGCAGCACTAGGAATAGCAATAGTAGTTTAATAGTGGGAGTAATAATAACAGTAGTAGTAATGGTAGTAGTACTTCTATTCGTCTTAGCCTTAGTCTGAGTCTTAGTATGAGTCTTAATCTTAGCATTGCTCTTAGTATCAGTACTAGCATTAGTATCAGTCTCAGTACCAGCAACGGCAAATAATAGCAATAATAAGAACAGAAACAGCGGAAATAAGAGTACTGCGAAGCAAGGCTGGGCCCGACTGGATGGGTGATGGCATGGAGCTCGGTCCACCTCATGTCGCTTCGTGATCTCCGAGATTTTGCACCCCCCCTTGGTAGCCGCTTGTTGCCCATGCCCGGAACTTTCGGCTCAAAGACGCGATCCGATACTGAACTTTTTTGCTCAGATGGTTGCACTGAGCGAGCCCCTCTCCAATGTTAGCTCTGGGGCTCTGGTCTGCGCTGCTGGTCTCCACACGGGCCGAGGCCAGGACCGGAGTGAAGCCGCGTGCGGGGACTGCATGCACTTTGCAAAGATGGAGAAGGCTGAGTTCTCATGGTGGAGCTGGTGTAGCAAGCCAAGCGCTCAAAGAGCCTTCGAGGACGGGAGGAGCAGCAGATTGTGTGCCACAAATCGATGCTCCCTCTTTCCTCTGCTTTGCAGTCAAAGCCCCTGCATGAGGCGGAGTCCTTCTCTGGTGGAGTCTCCTTACTTCAGGTTGGACCAGCCGAGGTGGTCCGAGCTCAGCTGCTCGTCAAGCGTGTCCATGGCACACTAAGACTGCCAGGGCTTTTCACGTTTGTGTCCCAGCTTCGTGTTGCGCATCTACAAAGAAGCCAAGTCGTTATGAGCAAATTAGGTTCTCAGCAAAGGGCCACGGAAATTTCATGATGTTTCATGTCCTAGGAGATCAGCAGATGCAGTGCCTTCACGACGTCCGAGTAGCCCTTCAAAGGCTTGGCTGAGCAGTCCCGTTTGCTTTCATGCGACACTTATTCCCCTGCCTTGTCAGAAAGGATGTGACTAGCAGCAACGCGCTCGTGCAGTTGTACCGGGACTTGGTGGAAGAACAAGAAGTAACTCCAGGTGAAGTCTCAGGCGCGTGACGCGAGTGGATGAGGGCATAGCATGTTTGAATACCGGGGTAGCAAAACCAGAGGTTGCAATGCAACCTGTAGGCGTGATCATGCTGCTTGGGATCGTCATTGCTTGCCTATGCTGGGCTCCTCCGATTTCGTCGCCTGCGATGAACAAGGACCGATGGAGCCTTTGCACTGCTTGAGTACTGCTTGGCTATTGTTTTAAACAAGCTTCATGAGAGGAAGCAGTACCCGACATCCTGCCACCAGTCACGGACAAGGACCGCGTCGCCAGCCGCCCTAAAATTCAATGCAGACACGACATGACAGCTCTGCGAGGCTCCTCGTCGACCATCCACTCCGCCAGGTGACTCGGCTTCAGTGCCACGAAAGCCGCGCGAACGGATGCGAACGGTGAGCCAAGTTGAGCCAAGGAGAGCCCACCTGCTGTTGCAGCTCGGATGCAGCTCCCGGAACCTGTCTTCGCGACTTCTAAACTCTAACGACCAAACACCCTGAACCCTAAAGCAATGCGGGTGTGAGCCTGCATGAGGCGGAATCTCAAGCTGGATGTCAAGGCGTGCACAAGCCCGAGAGAAGCCACAGGACTTGGTCTCATTTCACACGGTCCCGTTCTACAGTCCCCGAATCGCTGCAGAGGGTGTGTCGCTTCTTTGAGGAACCAGTTACTGCACTGCTTGCCCCGTTGCCTGATGCAAGCAGACAGACGGGTCGACTTTCTTTCCAACTGTGTCCAGCTACATGTCGATCCGCTTCCGCCAAGTTTGCTAGACGAGGGTGATTTCAGCTGAGGTGATGAGCCACCTCGGAGATTTTCGCCTGTTTCGGTGGATCTTGAGGTGTCATCCAGAAAGAGGTCGACACATTGATCCAGTAAAGCCGCTTTGTCCGAAAGAGAGCAGTCCATGAGCGAGGCGCCTTCGGGCCTCAGGTGAAGGAGACTTCATCATCATGGAAAGCAAAATTGTAGCCTTGCACCATAAGGTGGTCAGTGGAGCGAGGTGTCGTCCGAACCGTTTTCTACCTGTGCCTGCTTGTGCCCATCGCAGTAGACTTTTCTGTTTCATGAAGGAGCGTAGGCCCTAGGGCGAAGAATCAAAAAAAAGCGACTGCGTCATGGCAGCTAGAAGTCATACATGTGCCGCCTCATGCTGCAAGCGAAGCAGGCACAGCCGGCGGTGATTTCGATATGTCTGACACCATGTGCTTAGTTGTGCTGCTAGCTGATGCCAAGGACGTCATTCCACGAGCTGAGAAGGACGTGCAAGCGCTGGGGTATGCGAGCCCACCTCAGACGTCAGTCCTGATGCCCTTGCATATGGTTGACGATTCCGATTCGTGTCGCCGCTGCATCTTACATGGCCAGACAGGAAAGACAAAGGCCACGGTTCGGGATGGCAGCGAGATTGTCTTGGTCAAGTGGTCGCATGCTCAGGCCAAGGCAGCTCACCGTTCAGGGCTCTCAAGAGATCCTTAACCACTTTAGACTTTAATGGTAATAGTTGTAATGCTAGTTAGAACGGTTAAACCAAGAATACGAGCATTGCTAGCAATAATAGTAGCGGTAATAACAATAATAAGAACCGAATAACAGTATCAATAGCCATGGTAGTAACAGTAGTGAGAACAGAAATCACAGTGATCATCGGAATAATTGTAATTTGGTAATCACAGCAATACTAGCAGTTATAGCAATGGTAATAATCGTAGTAATAGCAGTACTAGTAGCAATAGTCGAGTATTAATAATAGGAACTATAGGAATATTAGCAAAGATCGTAATAGCAGCAAGAATAAGACTAGGAGCACTGGTAATAGCAGCAATACTGGTATCAATAATAGTATTCGTAACAGTAGTCATATTGGTTAAATAGCAACTACTGTAGCAGTAGCAGTCTCAGTAACACAATAACAATAGTAGTCGTCGTGACTCGTGACAGTAGTCAGAATAGCAAAATCGTATTGCTAGTAACAATACATTTCCCGAGTGGTCGCCAAGGCCTTGACGCTTGACCTCCTGTCTTGGCACGGTGGGGCCTCTCTGTGTTGCATCTTGCTACACATCTTACATGTAGTGGGCTTCAGGCTTGGCATCCAAAGCAGCGCCCATCAAGCGCCACTTTGAAGAGAACGTCCTGAGTTTCGTGGTGCAGGTCGTCCGGGAAAAACAATAGATGCTTCCAGCTGGCTTGTGCCCTCGCTCACCGGTGAAAGGCGGTCATTGCCGAGACAGACAAGTCTGTCCTGCAACTGGCCGGAACAACCCATACAAGGCAGCCAGAAAGAGTAAACCCTAAACCCTAAACCCTCTTGGAAGTGAAACCGGGCTGCGTCAACATCTCCAGGATGGCCGAGCCGATGCTGAAGGGGGCTCAACTCCAGAGTGTCGAGACACCCGGCATTCAGACCTGGGTGGTTGTGAAAATTAGGGTCCC